CAAACATTTCACAACAATATTATTCAGATTGGATTGGAAAACAAGTAAAACAATACCTCTCCAGCTAAAGTAATTTTCAAAATAAAGATACAAAAATGTTGCGGATAGATGTAAGCTATTTGAAGGTACAACGAAAAATAAGAGAATAATTAATTGTTGAATTATCACTGTAGAAAGTCTTACGTTACTTATGGATAAATATTAGAAGAAAGGAAGAATGTAAGGAAAAACATGACTTAAAATATCGGACTTTTTAGTTTTTAAAATAAACATGTAAATGAATATGAGCGTCCTGAAATGCCAAGTTCATTTAATTTAAAAGTAAAATAGATTTTTGAACATTCTGAAACTACTTCGCGCGAAATAGTTCATTCAAATTACAAAAATGTTTGATAATAAAAGTTCTTCGGAATTATTTTTTCTTACATTACTGTAGTAAACGTACTTATTGAATTACTGGAGGTGTAAGTTTGCTTTGTCTTTACTTTGACTTCACGTTAACAGTCTATTCTATGTTCTATATATGTGACACCATAAACAATAAAAAGAGGCTTTCATTTTTGAATTATGGGAGCATTAAATCTTATTGAGAAAAAGCATTCAACGCTGTTTGTGTTACATTAATTCGTCCGGACCAATATCTTAGCCAAAAATGAGTAAAAACAAACAAACGAAAAAAAAAAAAAAAAAACGCATCGCTGATAAGCAATTTGACACTTAACTGGCCCCTTATGCAATACGCGGTTACATACAAACATGACGCGAAGAAACAACCAGGTATATGTAGGGGTCCTACGAAGTCAAGTGTGAAGTTAATTGACATCGACGTGGCTTCGGATAGTTCATCGTATGCATTCATATATGCATTATGAATATCTTTAACTAGTATGCCTGAATTCTCCGAGAACTTGGTAACATTTTATTGATTGTACACGGTAACCATTCAAAAGTCAAATTTTTATCACATATCCGTGCCGTTTTTGCGACTCTGTGAAAACGGTATTGCACGGCCGTGCATATATTTTGGCGTCATTTGCGTTATACGCAATAAATGTTATCGTTTTTCTATGGGCGTCAATAAAAAAATCTTTCTTTTTTTCGCTTCAAAAGGTACTTATTTTTGGTATGTAATAAACAGAATATTAAATTTGTGTAAGTTTATTACTGAATTTATTGGCAATGATATTTACCGAGTCATCTTAGAAATGCAGCTTCAGCTGCTACGTTCACAGTTTGACAAATCAGAAAATAGTACTGTTACTCTACCTGACGTTTTGAAATTTGTGTCAAAACAGTCGGTGCTAGAACGAGCACTGTTCTCCGAGGTCGTTGTGCTGTTAAATATTTTGTTGATTGCAATTAATGCTACCAGTGAAAGGACATTCTCGGAGCTCAGAAGAATAAAGACATACCTGAGATCGACAATGTCTCAAGTACGCATGAACAATCTGACAGATTCATTCAACTTACGTGTAATTGCCGATGAGTTCATAACCACCAGAGAACGACGGCAATGTGTTTTTGGAAAATTTACATAAAATGAGACTCTGTGTTTTTGTAAGATTATTGTGAACAAAATACAAGTTTCTGCTAAACAAAAAGCGATTATAGTTGACTCTTTATGTACTATTCTTCCATCATGGCATCGATTGTTATTTAAGCTTATACCATTGTGTGATTTATGTTAAACAATAATTCACGTACTGTAATATTTCTTGTATTTGTTTTACAATAATTATCAGATAAAAATGCATCTAAAGAATTATAACAACATCAGTTATTGTTTATTTTTCATTTGCCAAATATCAATTACATGTATTCATCTTTAATGTACACCTGCCCGTCCGTTATGCAAACCTTAAATTTCACCGCTTAAATCTGTAAAAAAAATCACCGACATTTTACTATAAAATGCACTAGCGACAGGCTGTAAACTGTGCCAAAAATACGGGAAAACGCCTCTGAGAGCATCCTAGAATACAAAATTTTCCGGGGGAGCATGCCCCCGTACCCCCCTAGATTCTGGCTAAAACATACCAAATTGGCCGCACCAATCACAAAATCGTGACGACGGGCCTGATTATATATTTCATCATAATTGTCCGGTGTAGCAATGTGTTATTAGGGGTGCGTTTATAGTACATTTCGTTCTATTTGTTGACCTTTGTATTCATTATTTTCTAGATCTAATTATATATTTCAACAACCTTATTTTGACTTTTTAAATTTTGATGTTTGCTTAAAAATTTGCATAAATTTGTTCTCTTTAAATGTATAGTTATGGATTCATATATCATTACCCCAAAGTTATATACGGGGAAAAAGCTCTTTTTGCCAAAATGTCACAGAAGCTTTGCGTTATTTACTTAGTGATATAAGTGTGGTCATCATTATATTGATGGAAAAAATGTATGACGTCATCCAAAGCACATATTTCCCTTCTAAAATGACATTTTAACGCGGTTCATATATAAATTATAAAATGCGCTAAAATGACGTTGTTGTATGGCACGCGACTCCCAGATGAAATTTCCGGCATGGGTGAAACTCATGGAAACGCCAGTCTGCTATGCAAGAAAACCTATACTGTGTCGGTGTGATGTAAAACCCAATCAAAACAAAACACACCGTACAATCAAATGGGCAGACAGCTGTTCCAGCGTCCACAGCTGTACCAGTATATACATGTCGGCGCGGGGAATACAATTGACGTACGATAAGTATTCATCTATTTTTAACATATCCCGACTGTATTCGAGTAAATCAATGTTATGGATTCATAGTCAACATCCAAAAAAGCATGCTAACAAATTTCTGGCCCTGTGCAAGCTTTACTTCACATGAATTTTGACTGAAAATAACCACACTAATCGATGAGATGCAGTATTTTTAGTTTGAAGTCACAAAAAACTTATATTTTCTCATGATAATTAATCCTTTTTTTCATACGATCCGTAAACGTCAACATTTTGTCATTAAATATTCCAAATCATACCTTCAAAAAAGCTTTTCTGCCCATTTGATTGTACGGTGTGCAAAACAAATAATAAAACAAGAAATGTCGAACGACGTATATGCGACCGTCTCTAGCCTATGGTGGCTGATTTGTGCCATTCGTGTTTTCGCCCCGCGACCCCGCCAAGCGAAAAGTCGAGAATTAATATAGGGTTAACGCACGTTTTTCCCACAGACACTTGTTTAGAAGCGAATATAAGGCATTTATAATGACATTACTCCAGTATATACTATAAATAACACATGTAAAATCAATTAAAATTCAAAATTTCGCTCGGTTCTGAGAATTTCCCAAGTTGTTGGCTCCGGAAAAATAAAACGCATACATAAAACATGTAGAATTGGATAAATACCGTCCAAGCACAAGGATTTAATGTATTGTGTTTTGTATTAAATATACATCATGAATCTGTTTTAAATTTTTATGCTATAGTAGCGTCAACGCACGTTTATTTCGTGTTATAAAGTCTGCAGAGTCCCTTAGAACTGTTTGAGCCCTCGCCCTACCGGGCTCGGGCACCAACCGTTCCTCGGGACTCTGCAGACGTTATAGCACGGAAAAACGTGCGTTAACCCTATAATAATGCACCTTTTTCGTTCAAATGCTTTGTAATTAATCACTCAGGCCTATCGGCCTTCGTGATTATATTACTACGCATTTGAACTCAAACCGTGCATTATTCTACAACAATGCACTCAGAATTGATATCTATTTCCTAATTATAACATTGTGAACGTCACTCCGGGGCTCTGTGGAAAGGCCGAACATTTTATTTTTGCATATGAAAGTCTTAAGCCATGCCTTCTTAAGATCTTTGATTACACCGATTCTAGACCGAAAAAACGATATAATAATTCTCTCTAAAATTGCCTCCCGTTGATATACCCAAGCAAGGTAATTAATTTGCTTATATGTGCTTAAACCCTTTTTTTATAACCTTTGAGTGATTATGTGTGTATACACATTATCAAAATACGTAACACATAATAAGAATAAGGTAAAATCCTACGCATACCAGAAGAATAAATTAGCAGCTACATGTATATAAATATGTTGATCGATCTATTCCCAAAGTATTGATTTCATCGGGGCGTTTTGGCTTATCGGTAGGTACGCCACTGCTAGGGTGCGTGAGCCCTTAGCACGGATAATCTTCTTTTGGCTCAAAATTCACGTCTTTATAATCAGTGGAAATTGCATGGAGTTAAATTAACACCACTTAATTTGTGCTTCAAAATTAACTCTTTAACGGCATGATTTGTGACATGTCCGGGGTCCGTACTCGACAGCGAATGCTGCAGTTTGAACCCTTACGGGGGGGGGGGTGGACCTCATTGTCCATAGACTATACATGTACTCATATATACACTGACGCCGCATATTTGATCCGTATCAGTTCATAAAATAAAAATCAAAATCGATAGATTGACATGCTGAACAGAAGTTTAAGTGCAGATATATATACGTAAATATGAGAGGAAGGGTGGGCTGTTTTAATTGTATTTTAGGAGTATATTTTCGTGTGAATTTGACGGCAGGGTTCGCAGACCAAAATATCACACACTAATATCGCTTATGGCAACCTTGAACATAGAGTACTACCTGGCATTGTTTGCCACATAACCGACAAGTGAATTCATATGTCTGTGAATGTTATTTTACTTAAGGATAATGGTTCGTGTTAATACATTGATGTTCGACTCGAATGGAATAGGACAACCAAGCTGGAATAAATTGTCCCTTAAGTATCCGATGGGATTCAAATCCGGACATGTTGCGTAAATCATTAATGAATTCTGATGAAACTTACAGTTTCTCTTGCTGAATTGTTTGTAGCAGTATCCTATTATTATAAGACAAACGGTTTCACTTTATTGTTTCACAAATATATTTCTTATTTTACTTTTTTGTTTCACTTATGTTATTATTTTACTTTTTATTGATCTATTTAGTTGTTTCTTACAAACATTTATTTTATAAAAAGGTCCAGTCATCAACTGGAGATGGAATTGTGGAAGTAGCAAACATAACGGACAGTTTTTACCAGGAGACTATGAAAGTTTCGGTTATGCAATCTCACAAGCAGTCCAATTGTCGGGGAAAGCGGAATCACAATGGCTATCTTCACTTATCCTTGCGATAGGAAAGCAATATGGAAGATGGTATATCTAATGAGCTTTTATTAAATAAGAGAATTAAAGTGATGTCTCATCGCACATTTCACTGATTTGAAACATTAAAATTGCAAAGAAAGTTATATTCTTATTGCTTTAACTATTATCAGTAATTTCAATAACGGAAGAATGACAACTACAATACAACGCATACTCGATTTCTTTGCATGACAGGTATATCAAATTAAACAAATTGAATACACTGGGCTAATATAAAAACTTGAAGAATACTACTGCAAGTTTATGTTATATAACAATGTATATATTTATACATAGAAAGGACTGTAAGTGAAGCATAATCTACTCAGCTCCAATATAGCCTCACTATCATTTGATAAATGGTACTGAAAAAATATATTAAATATTTTTACTGTCACATAGGGTTATTTCAGTTGTGAAAGCCAGTGTCCTTAAAACTTCACCAACTGACTATTAAACAACTGCTTATACCAAATCTTAGGATATAGACTAAGAGATCTTCATTTATTAGTCAGACTATAGTTAGTAGTAATTAAGGGCACAATGACATTGACCCTTCGTCTACTGACCACAAAATCAAAACGGGTCATCTATCATAAAAACCTACGCGTCAAATATTAAGACTGTACGTCAAAGCATTATCTAATTATTAGTAAACAAGAGGGCCATGATGGCCCTGAAGTCGCTCACCTGTATATAGACCCCTGGAGTGGGGCCAGTTTAAACCCCAGGGCTTTTATTTGAACAAACTTGGTAGACACCCATTAGAAGATGTTTCATGCTAAACATCTAAGGTCTAGCTGGTCAAGTTTTTTCTTTACACATATAGTTAAAAACAATGACACACCTGGGGCAGGGCCAATTTTGACCCAAGGGCTTTTATTTGAACAATCTTTGTAGACACTTACTAGAAAATGTTTCATGCTTAATATCTAAACTGTAGCTATTTAGGTTTTTTCAAAGAAGATTTTTAAGTTTGTGCTATACACATATAAGGAAAATCAATGTCCCCCGGGGCCGGCCAATTTTGACCCCAGGGCTTTTATTTGAACAAACTTTGTAGACACTCACTAGAAGATGCTTCGTGCTTAATATCTAAACTCTAGCTATTTGAGTTTTTTCAAAGAAGATTTTTTAAGTTTTGCTATACACATATAAGGAAAATCAATGTCCCCCGGGGCCGGCCAATTTTGACCCCAGGGCTTTTATTTGAACAAACTTTGTAGACACTTACTAGAAAATGTTTCATGCTTAATATCTAAACTGTAGCTATTTAGATTTTTCAAAGAAGATTTTTAAGTTTTTGCTATACACATATAAGGAAAATCAATGTCCCCCGGGGCCGGCCAATTTTGACCCCAGGGCTTTTATTTGAACAAACTTTGTAGACACTCACTAGAAAATGCTTCGTGCTTAATATCTAAACTCTAGCTATTTGAGTTTTTTCAAAGAAGATTTTTTAAGTTTTGCTATACACATATAAGGAAAATCAATGACCCTGAGGCGGAGCCAATTTTGACCCCAGGGCTCTTATTTGAACAAACTTGGTAGACATCCATTAGAACATGTTTCATGCTAAATATCTTAGCTCTAGCTCTTTCGGTTCTTTAAAAGAAGATTTTTCAAGTTTTTACTATATGCATATAGGGAAAATCAATGACCCCCTTGGGCGGGGCCAATTTTGACCCCAGGACTTTTATTTGAACAAACTTGGTAGACACCTATTAGAACATGTTTCATGCTAAATATCTTAGCTCTAGCTCTTTCGGTTCTTTAAAAGAAGATTTTTCAAGTTTTTACTATATGCATATAGGGAAAATCAATGACCCCTTGGGCGGGGCCAATTTTGACCCCAGGGCTTTTATTTGAACAAACTTGGTAGACACTCACTAGGAGATGTTTCATGCCAAATATCTCAGCTCTAGCTCTTTTGGTTTTTTAGAAGAAGATATTTAAAGTTTTTTCTTTTGGTTGCCATGGCAACCAGAGTTCTGCATGGAATGGAATTCTTTGAACAACTTAATTAAGGCTTCACACAAGGAACATCCCTGTGAAGCCTTATTATGATCTGCCATATGGTTTCAGAGGAGATGTCGTTTAAAAAGTGTAAACGGACAACGGACGACGTACGACGGACGAAGAGTGATCCTAATAGCTCACCCTGAGCATATGCTCAGGTGAGCTAAAAACTTTAAGTATTCAAGGACACGGTGACCTCCACCTTTGACCTAAAATCATTAGGAACATCTGCTAGTAATGACCAACTCCACATCAAACAGCAAATAATGTTCTCTGTTTATTGTCAGGACAAGATTTAGTGGCCAACACAATGGTAATTTTTACTTTAGTCTAACGACTTTGAAATGGAAAGTTATTATCTAATAGTCTTAAAACTTCGAACCTTATCTTAGGATTGCTGATTGAAGCACTTTCTAGTAATTGGTCAGAAGCTTTTAGTGGTCAAGGCCATGTTGTCTGTATTTGTTCGGACAAGCTGTTACTGGTCAAGTCCGCAATGACCTTAAAATCAGTAAGGGTCACTTATTTTCCGTCTTTTCTCTTTATTAACAAATCAAGGTTTTTGCCTTCTCAAAATATTAAACGGACAAAAAATATCACGTAGAAATGTTACCTACTCCATGGTCACATATTTTAGTAGAGACATAAAAATACTTTCTTGTTTAGGATTCCCTGAAGTCAAGTTTGTACTTTAATTTCAGAATATGACTGTGTAACAGCTGGATCTTCAATCGCATACCTGCTACAGTGCAAAATCATAGTATTCTTTCATCAAACAAGATTTTAGTTTGTTTTTTTGTGTGTGTGTTTTTTAACTTAATATACATGGTTCTGAAACAATATGTTGATCATCATAGATTTATTTAAAATATCATGGAAAAAACATTATTTGCTTTCATTAAATGTATGTATGCTAAAATAAAATAATATTTATTTTAGTCTTTTAGTTTATTTTTTCTAAACCAACTCCGAAAAATTAAAGCTTTTAGACTGTTTTGTAAACTTCATACAATACTTTGGTTACAGACATACTTAGGCAGAACTCGAGTATTACTTTTTGGCCCTACAATGACTGAGATACTAGATGTATAATTTTGATTATTAAATCAAATTCTAATGAAAATTTTACACTTTATTTGGACATAGGTTTGCTGGATTCATGTCCAAATTTTGTGTTTAAAATTTCTATACGAATTTTAGATAAATCGAAAATGTCTACTTAAGATAGGTCAAAGACAGAAAAGGCCGGGTTGCATATGTAAACCAAATATCATGAGGCTGCACAGTGATCCAGTAACGCCGGAATGCGGCTATTTCTTTTTTCAGTTTGGTTAAATGAAAAATATATTGGCCAGTTTACTAACCGCGTTGAAAATCCTGTCAGGTATCCGCCATTTTTGCACAATTCTGTGTTACTTTTTGAACAAATCGTTTGTCATTTTCACATTCCGGCGTTACTGGATATACACGGTGGTGATGTTACTAAAATTTTCTACTATTGACGTCGAAAAATTAACTTAGTCGGTAAACAGGAAGTGGATGTCCAGCAACAGACCTGAAATCAAATCTCACGGTATTGGACAACTAGTTTATGCTGTATGCCAAATATCGAAAGGCTGTGATAAGTACATGTTATGATCATGTAGTTGCTGAGAAAAATGTTACGAAACTTTCCTACAATTGACCATTCATTAATGTTGAAAATTTAACTAAGTCAGCAAACAGGAAGTGGATGAGCAACAGACCTCAAATAAAATCCCACAGTATGGGACCATGTGTTTATGCTGTATACCAAATATCAAGAGGCTGCGATAAGTAGTTGCTGAGAGAAAACTGTTACGAAAATTTCCTACCATTGACAATTTATGTTTAAAATTTAACTAAGTCGGTAAACAGGAAGTGGATGAGGGACAGACATGTAATCGATTCCCACAGTATAGGACCACGTGTTAATGCTCAATACAAAATATCGAGAGGCTAATTTGATAAGTTGTTGCTTAGAAAATATTTTCCTCAGCTTGCCCGCCCATCCGGCATTCTGTCGCCCGACATTCATCATACTATAACCCGGGTTTGTGCCTATGCAACCCGGCCAAAAATGTGAGAAAGCATGTAAAAGTACATAGATCTAGTTTACTGCTGCTGGTTTCTGAAAAAAAAAACATTGATAAATAATTCTAGTCTCAAGTGGCTGTTTTCTGTACGAAATCTGCTGTGGTCATAGAATAATTTAGTCTTAAATTTGGTTTGCAAATCATGGTCATGCAACTACATAATTACTGTAGATAAAGAAGCAGACGCTTGTTTTGGTTGAGTCTATTTTGTTTTGTTTCGGGAGTGAGTTATCATACACAAATTTACAATTTATATGCATAGACAATTTTAGCACAAATCAAGCAAAATACTAACATAATTCAAAGGTCAAGGTCTTTGATGAGTCAAGGTCAAGTTCAGTCCAGTTTACTTGAAGGTCTTGTCCAATGTGTTGTTACATGTATGTCCAAGTATTAATTAAGGCAATCCATTTAGAAAAAGACGACAACAGGAATGATAACCTGACTATAGCAATAATTAGAAATTTTTCTTTGAAAAAGTTGAGGTAAGAAAAATTTAGGGTTCTGTGCATATGATCAAACATGAGCTAAAAAAAATCTGCGAATTTCGGTTTCATTAAAATTATGCATTTAATCTGACATATAACAACTTTAAATACAAATAATTTTATTAAACATAAACCCAGAAACATTTAAAATAATAATAATCATTGCAAAGTAATAAATGCATATAAGTTGTAAATTTGTGTATCTGGTTGTTAAAATATATCTCATGATACCTTTTCTATTTCAATCTTGCATGCAAAACAAACAAATATATCCTCTATGTGACGACTTTTTATTGTGATTTGCAGACAAAATGGTCAAGTTTTTCAAAATATAAAAAAATCATACATGAAAACATAAAAAATCACTTGATCAAACCTTCAGTCAAATTGAAAATCTAATGCCTTGTCATCGAGGCTTGTAAAAATAGATTTTCAAAACATTTTCCTTTTTTCTTGGTAAAAGGTTAAACTTGGCCCTTCCTGTCAAACTTCTAAGTTTAGTTTAGGCTGAACATCACAAAATAAATTTATGCTTAAGAGGCACATTTATTGAAATATATAGTGGTAATTTATTCCGTCCATTTCCATTGCGCAGGTTTCCAAAACGGTATGACAGTAGGATGAAAATCATTGGATCCGGAATCGTATTAGATAAATAGAGAAATCTTATAAACTATCTTTGTGTTGATAGTTTATCGCACTGAAAGACAATAAAATTTTAACTATATCCTATGTAACAACAGGAATATTGATTTCAACTAAATTATATAATTTTTCATAGCGCATAAGAATAATTTTTCCTGCAGACACCTCTTTTACAGTAGAATTGCATTGTTTCATGCAATAATTCAACATATATATTTTCATAGTCACTTAGCAAATATTCAATGATTGGTAATGATTTGTCGGTAATTATCAGATTCTGAAATAAACCATACAGATTTCAATGTATGGTACAACACTTTATGTATAAAGTAGAATTACAAGTAGAATTACCAGCATATCACTTGCTTTACAAGCCTCGATGGCAAGGCATTAGATTTTCAGTTAGTTTCAAATTGAAGACTGAAGGCTCGATAAAGTGATTTTTTATGTTTTCATGTATGATTTTTTTATATTTTGTAAAACTTGACCATTATGTGTTATGCCTGCAAATCACAATGTACACATGGCATTAAAAACATTATCAACTAGAACTATCGCTGAATGCGATTCATACCCACAACAATGTCCTTGACAGAAGACGACTTGGAAAGGTGGTTAAGAGAATAACTTTAGTGGCACAAATAAAAATACATAAAAAGAAAATATCTCTGGTGAAAAAAAGACTTATTGTACAGGTAATAGTATAAATATATATTGTCAAATCATGTTCGAAACAGTTACAAATAACCTTTCATTTTCCCAATGTACTAGACATTTTCTAAGTCAATTTTTGACCTTCAAGTGTGGCCTTGACCTTAAGCTGGCACAAGGGAAAGATAGGTTCTGCACATTGCCAAGTTTGGGTAAACATTTGAGTACAGTTTGAAGAAAATCCTTCCATTAGCAATGAATTTATAGAGCGGACATAACATAATATGGTCTAGTATTGATTGTATGTAAATTTAAAGACTTAAAAAGGGGCATAACTTTGACAAAATGCAAAACAGAGTTATGAAACTTGACCTGCATATCTTATTTGTGACACCTCATATATCTTTTATGTTTCAAGCAAATATCTGTGCTAAGTTCAGAATTATTCAAATAAATGTTCAAACTTAAGAACATTTTCTAAGTCAATTTTTGACCTTCAAGTGTGACCTTGACCTTTAGCCGTCACAAAGATAACATGGATTCTGCACATAACCTTGTTGAGGTGAACATTTGAGTAAAGTTTGAAGAAAATTCTTCCATTAGTATAGGATTTATAGAGCGGACACAACATATTGTCTAATATTTGATTGTATGTAAATTTGAAGACTTAAAAAGGGGCATAACTTTGTTAAAATGCAGAGTTATTAAACTTGACCAGCATATCTTAATTGTGACACTTCATTAAAATTTAAGAACATTTTCTAACTCAATTTTTGACCTTCAAGTGTGACCTTGACCTTAAGCCGGCAAAAGGGTAACATCATTGGGTTCTGCACATAACCTTGTTGAGGTGAACATTTGAGCAAAGATTGAAGAAAATCTTTCAATTAGTGTAGGACTTACAGAGCGGACACAACATACTGTCTAATATTAGATTGTTTGATATTTGACCTTCAATTGTGACCTTGACCTTCAGCTGACACATGGGCAACATGGGTTCTGCACATCCCCTTGTTAAGGTGAACATTTGAGCCAAGTTTAAAGAAAATCTTTCAATTAGTGTAGGACTTAGAGAGGGTACACGACATACTGTCTAATATTTGATTGTTTGATATTTGACCTTCAATTGTGACCTTGAGCTGACACATGGGCGACATGGGTTCTGCACATCCCCTTGTTGAGGTGAACATTTTAGCCAAGTTTGAAGACAATCCTTCAATTGGTGTAGGATTTATAAAGCGGACACTACTGGGGAGATAATGAATGGGAACTGAAAATTTCCTTTTTTTCAAAGTTAAAGGGGCATAACTCTGCCAAAAATCATCGAACCATGACCAAATTCGAACTTGACCTGTATTTCTCATGACATATCCATATGCCAAATTTGAGTTGAATGTGTGCAACCGTTACTAAGATAATGAACGGAAACTGATAATGACTGATTTAATGCTTCCAAGGGATCACTTTCCAGATTTTAATACCATATTAGTCTACAAATATCAATTGAACCTTTGGGAAGGGGCCAATATTGACCCCAAGGCCCATTATAAATCAATGTTTTGTAAAGATCCACAGGGCAATGGTTTGTGCCAAATATCTAAGATATGTGCCATATAATTACACATCATAAGGATTACATTAATTTGGCTGTAATCATTATAAACCAAGTTACAGTTAACCTTTTTGGGTGTGGAAAATTTTTGCCTAGGGGAATGATATATATCATTTTAGTTGAGGTCAACAAGGCAATGCTACACTCTTAAGTATTCCTACTATAGGATAGAAAATGAGGAAATATTTTTTAACAAGAGGGCCATGATGGCCCTAATATTGCTCACCTGAATATCAATACTCTCCTGACAAGGAACAAGTTGTATTGTAAGCTATAAACAAAAGCAGATGTAAAATCTAAATCTTAAAGCTCCTGTATGTTGTTATTAAGGTTGTAACAACATTTAACCTTTTACCTCATATAGGCGTGTTTTGAGGGCTTTTCATCCCCCCCCCCTTT